AGCTATGTGTCTGACTAGACATCATGTACAGTACTTAAAAATGAAAATTATTTATCTAAGAAAGAATTATAAGCTGATCCAAACTAGGTTTTCTTATGAACAATTCAGTGACTCACCGATTGCACAGCAAAGTCTCTATGATTCAGTGTATTTTTGGGAATATAATCACTAATGAATGTTATATTTTTTAAATGAACCTTTTTCCTTCTGTCGCTCGGCGATGTCGTTTGTAAGCTCCGACCCCGGCGGGCGACTTTCAGCCTCGGGCAAGAAAACTGTGTCAGTCAGACGCTCAGGTCTCTGGTCATCTTCAGTTCACTGCTTCTCGAGGCCAGTGAACCTCTCACCTCTCACTGAGTCACTTCTCTCCATGCACACCCAGCCATCCCGCCTCAGTCTGTTCGTGCAGAGCCAGGGTCACACTCCTGTCATGTCACTTTTATTTTTATCAGTTTTATTTGTCCCTGCTGGTCACATTAAGAATCTCTCTGTTCACGGGTAAATGGGTTTTTGTTTTTTCATTTCAAGTTTCTCCTTCAAAGAGTTTATTTTGATTCTTTTCATTAACTAAACTACAAATCACACAGAGAACAGAAATGATTTTGATTCAAAGTATAATTTGTATTTAATGTCTTTTTTTTAAAATAAAACAAAGTGAACACATCTTAAGATGCCGTCTCTGAGGTTTGTGTTTTATTTGTCTCTCCTCCATCTTTGACTTTTCATATCACAGAGAAGGAAGAATCTAATAATCAGCTGACTGAAATTTCTGCTGGCGATCAACTTATAAATTTCCTCCTGTTGAAGTCCCTGAATGCAATCAGGCTCCCCTCAGTCTTGGAATGTGTCAATAGGGATAAAGCACAGGTTCAATATGTAAAGAATAAAAATAAATCTGGTGGTGCCAGGCAGGCTGGCAGCGGGCACGGGAAGGTTGAGGCGAATTCCTGTGCCCGACCAAGGCAAACAGAGAGCGGGTCAAAAGGCAGCGCAGAGCTGCGTGTCCCAGCAATCTGTCTAAAGTTAGACAAGGAGCTCCACTTTAGATCACAGTGATAACACTCCACACAAACACGCTGGAAATAGAAGATGTGGTGCAGAGGTGCATCGACACGCAGACTTTCACAATCACAACCTGACGAACGTGTTATGATTCTCCTGTTTTGCCACTTGTGGGTGTTTGTGCACAAAATGACCCCAACCCCGTCCCTGAGGTGAATGAGAGGCCAGAGGCACATAGCTGAGGTTAATGTTTTTATTAAATATATCACCTTTTTTTTTCTCTTACATTACATCTCAATTACAAAAGTGTACATACACACGAGTGAGCAGTTAGTCACTTTGGAGTCGACTCACATCAACAACAATTCTCTCTCCAACAGCAGCATGTAGACAGAGCGGAGCACGCCACAGCGGGACGCGCTCTTTGTGGTCATGTGTTCTTGGTCAGAGAGAACAACAACGCATAAAGTAAAATGACACGTCTTTTGTCGACAGACACGTCAACACAAGTGACAGCAGACACATAAATATCGGAGGTAGGTAAATGTAAGAAATACCCGTCTGAGAGGCAGTGCAGGGAGGCACCTCCTGTCATGCTATCTGCAGCCCCATGGAACCATGGGAAATGTCTTCTGAGACCGTGTTAGAGTTATGCATTCACTGACAATAGCTGATCATGTGTGACAGTGGAAAATAAAATAACATAAAAATGGCATCAATGCAAAAAAAAAAAGAAAAGTCATTTAGAATAACTTCTAAATGACATTTGGTCACTCAGTGCTTTTGTTCTTGGTTCGTCTCAAACCAAACCTCCAGAAAACTCCTTAAGGGTAGAGCGAGCTCAACTCAGCAGTGGAGATACTCAGGGCCAAGATACATATATGTACTTTATATACACTCACAAAAATAATAATAATAATAATATAATAATAATAACAAAGCAATTATATAAATACTCACGAAATAATTACAAATAACAAATAAAATGTAGTAACGTCGAAATAAATAAGGCTGAAGAGTAAATGCAAATATTAAAATCTCCTTTTCAGAAAAACAAAAATAGATTTTTTTTTCTCTTTGGGACGGGTGTTTGAGGGTGGGGGGGTAGGGGGGGGGGGACGCACAGCCCCGCAATGACAGTGTACCTGAATTAAACACCACCATGGACAAGATCAATAAATAAACAAATATCAAAAAGGGAAATAATCAGTGGCTTCTTCTTCTTCTTCTTCTTCTTCCTCTCTTGTGATGCATCAGTGGTCGACCCCGTTCAGGGACACTCTGCTTCTGCGGACAGATCGGTCGAACCTAAAATCTTCTTGCCGTTCCAGGAGTTCACACACCAGCATCGACCCCTCTGTCCGTCCAGGGATGATTCACACTGCACAGGCAAACACACAGGAAATCATTTCATTTACCTGCTTTTTCATACGTGACACACACATGTGCACATAACACATCAACTGATGTGCTGAACAAATCCTTGCCTGCATCACACACACACACACACACACACACACACACACACACACACACACACACACACTTCCAACCTGTGCTTGACATAATCTTGCTGCTCTCACACACAACCTTTCTTGTGCCGCACCCACTGCGCACAGAGCTCATTCTGCAGAGCACACCCACCTGTTTGGGTTTGTAGAGGCCGCGCTTCTCACAGTTCGGGATGTAGAACCTGGTTAACTTGTCTCCTAGTTTCTGCTGGGACTTGGCAATCTTGTCCAGGGCCCTCTGCAGCTCCAGGTGACAGGGCCCTTGCTGAGAGAGAGAGAGAGAGAGAGAGAGAGAAGGGTTAACTCCTGCGCACAGAAACTTCAAACACTGATGTATTGTCAGCAAACAAGTGGTCTGGCATCAAACTACTAATAAAACTTGTATTAACAAGCATCTCCATCCTCTCTCTCTCTCTCTCACTCTCTCTATACATCTCCGGATTCTTCCCCTCATCATTTCTAACAGCACACGAGCTCCCCCTTGCGACACGCCAGTCCTTTCCCAGCGCCCCCCCACTCTCTTCCAAAAAAACTTTGAGGAACATATTGCGCTGAGGATTTTGCAGAATTCACGCACGGTAATATGTGTGTGTGTGTGTGTGTGTGTGTGTGTGTGTGTGTGTACGTGCGTGCCTCACCTGCTCCACCAGTTTCCTGCGGATGGCGACGAGTTTGGCTTTCATGCTCTCCTGCGCGTCAGTTGCAACCCTCGGGTCGTAGGGCTTACTGTGGCCGGGGAGGTAGAGGCTGGAGCCGGGGTCCGAGACCATGGCTGTGTTCTCCATCTCCGCCTCTGGCTCTGTCTGATCTGCGGGAGGAGGATGAACGAGTGTGACTGAGAGCAGCTTCACGTTAAGTGTTTCTGGGTGTAATGATGAGAATTTACTGGATGTGCTAAAACAGAAATGTGGGGGTGACGGGCCTTACCTTGAGTCTGGGGCTCGGGGGTCGTCCGGGGCTCCGTGCTCTCCGTGCACACGGCTTGTCCCCGGGTGAGGGAGTGCAGCGGCCGCGGGTCGCCGGGTCTCGGGGTGCACCTCAGTCCGGAGCCGCACGGCGCCGTGTAGATCCCGCACAGGTCCGCAGCCTTCAGGGCGCAGGCGAGGCAGCATCCGCAGCCGGGCTCCCGCAGCACCTCGGTGCATCCGGGCGCCACCGCCGGACACTGGCTCAGCTTCTCCGGAGTGCACGGGGCGCATCGGATCGGCTCTGGCCCCAGCACCGGGGACCCCAGCGTCCCCGTGGCCAGCACGGAGCACAGCGCCGCCACCACGACGTGCTGCAAATGTAATCCACCCGTGGCCAACATAGTGAGCTGGATACTAAATATAGAAAATAAAAATGTGGAGCAAGATGGAGAGAATATTCAAAGAATGAGAAAAAGCCGGATTCCCACGGTTCTTGCTCAGTTGTGTCTTTCGTTTGATTTTGGGAAAATGTCTAACTGTGCCTTGCGCGCAGCCGTATTTATAGCCGGCTCCTCTGTGAGTGTTTGACGCATCGGCGTTATGAATGATTTCTGAAAAGAAGGTGTAATGATACGATGGGCTGTGATTGGCCCGCCTGTGTCCGGTCATCCAGTTCATTTGAATACAACAACCACGTCAATATTGATTTTGGAACAGGCAGTGTCCTGCACGTATCGCTGGCAAATGACGACACCGGTGTTTGATGTTGCAACCGAGGACCCCCCCCTTCTCACCCGGGTGCGACACCAGGCTGCACCCCCACATCTGAACATTACACACACACACACACACACACAGTTTGTTTTCATGAGTTCAATAAAGAATCATTTCTCCCTGAGTCACTGTGGAGCTGATTGAATCGATTTGTTTTCTGCTCTGACACAAACCAGCTCATCTCATTTGAAAACAACGTTGTCCATTCATGAGTGTGTTTCTGTTGTGTTTGTTCTTTTCATTGACTGCCCTCCCCCAGAACTTCTTACACAACTTTAGGGGGGGAAACTAATAATGAGCGAAAATTACGCACGCCCACGCTTCGGCACAGAGAGCGTGCGTGGCCACGCTGAGCGCGCGGACAGGCGGCTCTTGGAACAATCCGTGCACGTCAGAGTTGTGATGAGTTCCAACCTTTACAAATTACTATAAACGAGGGTCACGGTTCACTCCTGTGACTCTGTGCCATGTGATCCCCTCTCCCTGCCTTTGCGCGCGGCACCGGGGCCCAGTCCAGGAGATGTCCCGCTGCAATGACCCGTTTCCTGGGACAATAATAGCGCAGAGCTCTGAATGGGAGCTGACATGGCCGCAGACACGTCCCCCCTCGCATCGCTCCTCTCTGGGGGATTTGAAGGTCCCACGCTGGACGACGCGCACGTTTTCACGGCTTGCTGCAAGACATTTGGCGTCACGTCACCACGAGGCCCCCGGACGTGCGAGTGATTAAGTTCCCTGCTTTAGAAGAAATGACTGAAAACACTTTAAACCTCCACATTTGTCTTCTCAAACTCCACTCTTCTGTGTTCATATCGCAGGTTGCATCATAGCGATCGGCTCCACGCAATGTCTTATGGGATTGCATCATCTGTCAACCGGTGTGAACGGTCACTCTCACGTGATTTACAGATTCCCAAACGCCTCCTGCGCTAAAAAAAAAGCTCGTAGTGAAATCTGATGTGGCGTGATACCACTCCACACACACACACACACCCCACCATCATCACACACTAATGAGATGCTGCATCTTCACGTGCACGTGGAGGTGAATTCAGTCCAATCACACACACCTCTGGTAGGAAGTAATCTGATTACTCCATTGTACTGGTGCCTTTCGAATTCGCAGTCCTCCCAGTTCACGTCAGATTACAGAGGGAGATATTGGATTCACAATATAATTACTCTGCAGATTATGATTTTCATTTAAAAAGTTTAATGTGTCTTGGATAAAACTAATAATATATTTTATGAATCATTGAAATGTTCATTTACGGTTTATTTAAGGTAATACAATCATCTTTTCCTTCACTGCCTGATTATATAAAATACAGAATATTCTATATCATCCCTCTGCAGTTCTTCATTGAAGCCTCATATCATTCACATGTGTTTTGAATGTAACGGCTTCACTGTCCCATCAAATATTCTCAACATCAATTCATACATTTTCCCATGAAGCCGAAGCATCTGAGATTTAAAACAAATCTCTGTGGGTCAGAGGCTGCTTTCAGTACGTTCACTCAATAAAACATTGACGTGTGCAGCCTACGCAGTTTGTCCTGCAGGAAGTCCACATGTCGGTTTGTTCTCACTCTCACTGAACAGGAAGTCTCTTAATGCACAACTGAGCGGCCTCGTTCCAAAACACTGAAAACTCAAGTTTACACCAGAACAGAGTCAGACACCAGAGTAAAGTGCGGAATCCATGAATCCACTGCACTCACAGGACACGTTTAGTTCAGATGATAGATTTACATTTGAAAAGGAGAGGGTGGTGTTTTCCAGCTAATGGAACTTGCTGACCTGTCAACAAGGCACCAAAGGGCAGGAACTCACGGTGACAGGTGTTGGCAGGAGAAACTCCAGAGAAACTCACATTTCTCACATTCAGCCCCTCTGGAAAATTTCTGGAGATTATCCGGGGTTCAGTGCACGTTGGATAGCAGCTCTACATTCTGCCCATTCCAAGGCACTGAACCACCAAACTCATCTTGAAGCTGATATTTTAAGGTCAAATAGTTGCCTCAGTGAAGAATCTAAATACAGTGTTAAATTAAAGTTTGCTGATGCAGATACGTTTGGCTCAGTCGTGTCCACAGCTGAACTTTGATCTGACGATGACGTCTGCAGTCTTGTGAGGGAATGTGGACTTGAGGGCCGCTGGGAGCTGAAACGTGGATCGCGTGCTGCGTCACAGGACATTTACTCTCATTTCATCCAAATGTTCGTCTCTGCTTTTTTATGGCTTGTGCTCCTTAACCCCAAAAGTCCTAAAATAAAAAAGATAAAGTAGTTCATGTATGAGGCCTCCACTGGTGTGCGAAGCCTGATCTCCTGTGATGTGGCCTTATATGGCCGAGTGAGGTAAAGTCAAAGCCTGGGATCGTCTTCGTAATTAGCAGGTTGACGTAAAGAAGGAGAGACGCCGGGGATTTGAACATGTGAAGTTTTTCTAATGAAAGAGTGATGACGGGCCGTGTGAGATCAGGGACATGTGATCGAGCTGAGCGGAGTTATCTCAGGTCAGGGACAGAACTACTTTTTCAACAACACATGCACACAGCGGGCCGTGTCGGACCCCGACCACAGGCCCACCACTCACCCCGACAGTTACTGCAGGGTTTGTGTTTGGAGGAGAGAAGATGAGGAGTGGAGGGGTGTGTGGGGGGAGGACGAGGGTGGGGGGGGATTCCATCTCTTTCAGATGTCACATGATGGAGATCAAACAGCACTTGGCATTGAACGTCCCAACACTGGAATGTTTACCTTTGACAAGAGCACCGGGAAAAACAGTCTTGTTGTCTCAGGAGCTGCTCACACACACA